AAAGTTTTGCGGGCGGCTACTACCTTTTTAATTTCGGCCCTGCAGTGTGGCTAACTTCCGACTCTCGCTCACTGACGTGAGTACTATGATCAAATAAAAACATTACACGTCAATTGTCAACGCGAAAGTCGGAAGTTGGCCATACCTCAGGGCCGATTATCAAGTAAACTACCGGGAACGTCCGCAGCGGAGGTAGGAAACTCCTTCGCCTCCTCTTCACGTCAACTTACTAATTGTAAGTAAAGATTATCTGGTGTGGCAAAGTTTCTAGATCAGTGCGATAAGCTCGGGCGAAAAAATCTGTCCTTGCTTGTCGGATCTCGTCTTTTTATATGTTCTTTTCATATCGATCCGATCAATTCCGGTTTACACGCTTATACAACGCAGTTATTCGCAGTTATTATTATTTGTTATGACGTAACAAAAAATCAGTTATGGTGGCTCTCGTTTCAGATTACTATATTTTTAAGTTTTGATTTGAAAACATTTTTTAATAAAATTATTATATCCACAAATCCGTTACCGCTATAGGCGGCAATCACGGCACTATAAGTTCTGATATTCGTTGAACGTCCTGTGCGGCGGCACTCATCTAACGATAGTACTTACTGTAAAATGTCTTATATTATGATGATCTCTGTTACGATTTCTTTCTGATGTCAGGCTTAGATTGTTCAGAGGGAGATGCGGATGCAGATCGGAGTTATAAGCAGTGATTGTGATAAGACTAAGTTCGATAACGCGCTTAAAGTTAATAAGAAGATTTATTATATATCACACGAAACTTAAAAGCGGTACAAAAAAAAAGCCTTTATTCTTCGACGATCGGAACTCGAGTGTGTTACATTTTTGCGGGTCCAGTGATCGCTGTTGTTCTCAATTCCGATCTACGATCATGCGCGACACGGTTGCGTGTTGACAGCTGAGGAATTCGGCGCTTTCGGCACATACCGGGTGCGCTAATTATATTATAACGACCAACGATCATATTCGAATAACCGAACATGCCGAATATCTTACACTACGTTGTGCTTATATATGCACTTACATATGTTACAATTAAATAAAGTATGCATCGCCTCTCCAACGTTTGATTCGCGATAAAATTTATTGAAGTCCATAGACAGTTTTTAAGACGAGCAAAAATTTGAAAAATTTTTTTTCCGGTGGTTTTCTTACGATTATTTATAAACCGCGCATGTAAAAAAAATTTCAAATCCAGATCTGAAAACTAGACACGTGAAGCTACAATTTCCTTTTTTTAAATTTTCTGTACGACCATTTTTCTTCAAGTTACAGTCTGTTGAAAATCACCTAAAAATTTGGAATTTTTTTAATATCCTTTAATTTTTGTGACTAGTTTAGTTCTATACATTCCGCGTCGCCGAACGCAGCGGTAAGCAGACACAGCGGACAAACAATAAAGAAAGCATCGTTTTGAATAAATAAAGTAATAGCCGAGTTTGGTGTCAGCCTTACCGCGGGCGACGTCGGCTGAGTCTCGCATGACTCATGGGTTGCTCGCCGAGAGGCGAGCCTTTTCCCTATATAAGAGACAGCCCCGAAGAGCCCAGACAGATACATACGATTCTCTTAGCGAAGCGTGCGCACGTTAAAATCGAGTTCTCGAAAGTTATCGTGAGGCCGAGTTCTCCGCGAGACGATAAGAGGTCGAGTCCTCTCATATATCACATTATTGACGCAACCAAGTTCGTATAAATCTTTTCTTGTGTATTATACAAGTCACATTAAAAATAAACATTAAAAAACTAATACGTGGAGTGACCTTCCTCGTATATACGACCCAAACATCTTAATTTTTATTTTTTCAATTTGATGCAATAGCAAAGATCAACTAAGAATTACATGAAACTTGTTCCATAATATAAGCATGTGCTATTTATAAAATATTAAAGTTTATAATAATATATTTCCTCTATTATTTTTTAGAATAAGTTGTATAAAAGGTCACATAAAAATATAAGTTAGTAATTTAGATACGTAGAAAGACGTAGGCGGTAAATCGAACAATCACAGTTGAAAAAGCAAGATGCAGCCTGGAAAAACATATGGCAGCCATAGAAAAACGTTAGCAGTAAGCAAATCAATATGTTTTATTCGCTACTGCAGCTTATGTTATCATGATAAAGTATATTGATTTGTTTACTGCTAACATATTACTGCTAACGTTTTTCTATGCCGCTGCCCGCTTTATATCCACGCACGTCTAAAAGAGGGGACACAGGGTGTCTCAATAGTACAGCGCTTGTGGGCAGGTAATGTGGACCAAATTGAGCAAAAAAGTCCTCTACCATTTGGCGATCTTCGCAATAGTTATTGAGACACTAATCATTTTAAAAAAAGAAAAAATTTTACACAATGGCCAAGTTTTTGCTTCATTATGATTCTATTGATTATTTTAATAACTTTAAGTTTGTTTTACAAAATTATTTGGAAAGACAATGGCATTAAACTTTTGCTGCATATTATAATAATAATAATAATAATACACTCGGGAGGCAGCCTCCTATCGGAGGTCCACCAACGACATGCAGACGAGGTCCATTGTGTCTTCCCGGCCGTGTTAATTCTAAGTCAGCCAAAACCTGTCGTCCCCCAGAAGGAGATCTCTGGCTTGGAGTTGCCAAACCTGTTCGGGCTCGAGGAATTCCAGGCCCAAAAGAAGTCGCCTGTGCCCAGCGTAAGCCGGGCATTTGCACTAATTTGCTGCATATAATTTTAAATAATTTAAATTATTAAAAAGATTTATTAAAAAAATATATTTTTCTGGTTTGGAATAAAATATTTTTGTTTCTATTCTCTATGTCTAATCAAATACTTGGCAATTTGTGTGATCTCATATCTGTTTTTGGACAACTTTTATTTGTTAAAATAATATTTTTGGTTTAGATAAGATGTACCTAATGTACGATACACTTGTATATAAATATTTTTATTTGTGTATCTATGTAATACATTTAAATCAAATATGTTTCTAGACATGTTTTATTTGAAATAATATCAGAATAGAATTATCCTTTTATGTTCGAAAAGTTGATGATAAATATTTTATTAATAACACTAGGTGACGCTATCAGTAATTTATTAAATAAGTTTAATAATTTTCATGACAGGCTCCATTTTACTGTGATTGAAAGAGAATAGTATATCTCTTTTTATTTCTTAAATATTACTTTAAAGATTAAAAAAATAACACAATATTTTCGGAATGGTGTTATAAAAATACATTTTCTGGAAGATATTTTTCAGAATATCCCATGTACAATAAAATTGAAACTATTTTTAATCTTGTTGATAAAGCATCTTACTGTCACATTTTCAACAAAAAAATTGTAGTATAAACATTAATCAAAAATGGGTATCTGTTTTTAATAGGATAAATGAGGTTGATAACATTATTTATTTTCGGAAATAATAAAGTTATATCGGAAGATGAATCGGATAATAATATGAAAATTATCGTTTTTCTTCACATAAAGAAACGCATCTTTGTAAAAGTTTTTCAACTATTGATGACTGAATTCTTGATTGGGTATAGATGTTTAAATAGATTAAACGGTTGTAAATAAAAAGACATGAAGATAAAAACGAATTGAATATAATGTTGTATATAAAATTTTTTGTAAAATGTATGATACTTTATATGTAGGTCAAACGTAAAGACAATTAAGAACACGGGTCTCTGAACACAGAAAAACAAACTCTGATATTTCAATATCTTTATTATTAATTATATATATTGGAATTCAATTACACAGTTAACTGGGATAATGTGAAAATTCTCGATTTTGAACAATTATTATAAAAGGAGAGATCAGAAATAAATCACAAACCCTTCTTACCAAAATGGGTCCTCTATAAATTTAATAATGAGAACAGTACTTTTAGATGTGTGTGACTCATTTTAATTTATTTACTGCACACTGCATATATTGTCGATCTTGAAACACAGTTTTTACATGAGCCCAGAATCCACTGTAACGAATTAAATTATCACACAATTTAATATTTTTGATACTAATAAGCATCTATAAGAAGAAGAAGGGAAGTGGAATTAAAGTTTATTGCACTGATTGACATGCTAAGAATTTCCTGCAAAAGAAGAGTGGTTTTCTAAGATTTTGGGATGCTGAAAACAATGCTGTTTTCAGAATGTGTCTATCACGTCACTCTTATATTTATATATATAACATTTATATATATAATGTTATATACAAAACATACATTTCTCATAGAAAATTAAATTAATTAGACATTAAAAAAAGCATTATTACTCATATTAAAATATATGTTTATAAAATTTTACGACATTCCTCATTTTGGTTAATAATGAATGGGCAAGAAATAGCTTGATATTATTACTAGAAGTCAATAATAATCTAATAATAATAGTCTACAAATATATTTTAGTTTTCCCAACGTTCGAAGAACCAATGGCAGGATGGTTAGATAACGTTTATGGTCCAATAGGAATTTTTATTGGTGGCGGAAAAGGAATAATACGAGTAGCCTATTTAAATAAAACTGTTAGTGAAAATATTGTGCCAGTAGACATTGTCATCAAAGCCATATTAGTCATGTCTTGGAAACTAGGATTGACTAGGTATGATTATTTTATATTTATTTTATTTAGATTAATAAACATTTTTCTATATTATTGAATTTTTTACTAAATCAGCACTTTTTGAAAATTTTGCTACTATGAATATGCTTACTATAAACCACAATATCAATAAATGTAAACACCAAATTAGCATCACATATATTGCCAATAACTACATATATTGAAAACAATACTGTATTTGTATTTGTAATAGAGCCAGTATTAGCAATGAGAAAGTACATTAGTATAATAACAATGAAAGATGTCTATAGATGAATAATTAAACTATTAAAATAAATGATG